ACCCCCCCCCCCCCAAAAAAAAACAACAACTCCCTCCGCCCCCACAAACCCAACTCAGGTTCAAGAGTTATTTATGAAGAATTGGCTTAGAATAATTCAGCCAGAACCTAAATCTTGGAGTTTTCCTAAAATCTCATATTGAATATATTCCACCCATGTGAAGAACTGATTCCATAAATGGTTCATCAGCAATAGCCGAAAGTATAGTAAGAAGTTTCTGTAACACTACCAGATCTTCTTCTTGGGGTTGTAGTTGAACCAACAGTGACAGCTGTTATAGGTGCAATTTTCCTTATAATCTTGAGGAGACATTTCTCTTGTATAGTATACCTTGCAACTTGTATAGTAATACCTTGCATAAATCAAAAAGGCTTTCCAAGGCCCTGGAGGCCTCCCTTGCTGCTGTGTAATGAACTTCATTCCTTCATCTCTTAAAAAGATGTTTATTAGTATTAATAAACTTTACAATCATATCCATAAACCATCCTGCTTGGTCACTTTCCAGAACATCTTCCTAACATGGACTGCATCATCAGAGGAGCAATATCACAGGTGGAGTTGATGTCAATGTTGCCATTTTTATTTTAGGAAAATATTACATTTAATTACACACAGCTGTCACAGCTCTCAATGAACATTCCAGTTCAAAATATGGCCTCTTCAATGCATTACACCACAGCTTCATAAATGAGGGTTACATTTTATGGAGGTATATGATTTATTAATTTCATTACAAGGCTCAATCTTTCAAGAACATATCTAATGCTTAGGCTTTCTCTTTGCACTAATGTCTCCTGCAAAGCTTGGTTAGTTTTTTTCCAGTATCCCCCTTGAATTAGTGTATAATGCATTTTTGCACTGATTGAATACCTCAAATAAGATCATCTTATTTTAGCTTTCAGGGAACTTCTTTTGAGAATGTATATCTTCACTGCACCTCTCCCCTCTGCTACAGTAATTTCTATAGCACTTTAGAGGTTGTCATATTTTAATACATCCCTGTAGTATCCTTCTTGTACTTTGTACCTTGCATCTACTTGAGAACCCCAAAGTGGCAACAAATATTTACTGTGACATTATAAATGCTTTTTTGAGATCTCTCATTAATAAAGTGCACAGATCAAGGTAAAATGATTGCTATAAAGAACTTTATGTGGAACATTTCATAGTGTAAGCAATCCCAACTGAGATAGATCTTCAGATGCTATAAATGGGTGTAATACCACAGAATTCATTGAAGTTACACCAATGTACATCAGATAAGTATCCAACCCAATTGTTTGCAAAGGAAGGGCAATAAAGTAGGAATGTATGAAACTACCTGTTGTGCTTTATAGATTGTGAAATGAAGCTGGCACATGAGTATCACGTAGACATGCAGTTCCTGAAGTTCTCTCTAGGCTTTTATATGGACCAGAAAATGAATCGAACAGGAGCAAATTTTGGAAGAACTTTATGACCCTCTGTGTCTTCTCTGCCTCTGTACTCAATTACAGTTCATCACACATACTACATTAAACATCTGTTCCTTCTAAGGGGTACAATGGGCAGATGTCTTTTCTTGAGTTTGGGCAATTCTAACCACCTTTCACAATCATGTCAGAAGATGCAAAATTTGGGGAGCAAGACAGTTGGCTTCTTACCCACCACATTCAAAAGAAAGGAAATAGTAGACTACATATCCTAATTCCATAAGATACTTACAGGTAAGAGCATTTGGTGGCAGAGAAAGTGGGGGAAGGACTAGGAGACTGTTGGATATTAGGAGGAGAGCGATTATGTAAAGGGAAGCGTTGACTTGGATGGATGAAGGGCTCTGACCCTGCCCAAATAACCTCACTGCTTCAAATTTGCATGTAAACACCTAAACAGGTAAAATTAAATCTTGATGGGAAGTGTGTGTTAGAAAATAGTCCTGCCTGGGAAAGGGTACTGGCAGAAACATCAAGGAGAGGGTAATAAGAACTATAATTCATGAAACAGTTGTCCAATATTTATGTAGAGCACTGCAGACATTCATTACAAAAGTATCTACTTTATGCTCACTTCATCAATACTAACATGGTTAAAATGCAGAAAGTAATTGCCAGTGCTGGAAACATACCCAAATGATTAGATGATTGGGAAAAGGAATGTGTAGAATGAATGTATAGGCTTATACCATTGTTTAGTCATCAATTGTATTAAGCTATTTAGATTTTAGTTTTAAAAAATTCCAAGTGTTGCACTATGATATGGCACCGCTCTTTACAAGCAACCAGGAACAGTAGTAAAAGATCTTACTCATTTCCAAATCACCTTCAGTATACATTTGAAAATAGTAGATCAGTGACTGTCCACTGAGTACCACAGCACCCCGAGGCATCTGTCTCAAGATCCTTTCAGAGGTACTGCAGGGTCTCATGCAATGTTATCATTGTTTGGTGTGCAAACATGATTCACGAGCTAAATGTATAGATTTCAAATAGGAATCCATAGGGTTGAAAGCATTCTGACCTGTTGTGTTCTTTCTGAGTTGTCTGCAACTAATAATTTACTTTATTATTTTTCTGTAGTAAAAAAAAAATCAAATGTAAACCAAGAGCTGACATTTTCCAAGGGGTGACTTGTGTCTATGAAAGTTGAGAACCACTGTACTAGACACCTGGAAATAATGTTTCCCTGCTTAAAAATGTGGACCTACTCTTGTTGTATCTAACTCCTATGATCCTGAAAGTGATATAGAGAAGAGGATATATTTTTCCTTTTGGGCTTTTTGTTTACAGATTTGATACCCCTGTGGGTATTGCAGGGTTACTTCTTTGGTCAGTTGAAATTGCTTATTGTGGAAGGAATCACTAGAACACCTACTACTCTCAGATACTTTCATTCAGGCCTCCCCTACATTCAGTCTAGACAAAAATAGACAGATTTAGGAAGGCCAAACTTTATAAAGATACACAGCTGGTTTGCCTCTGCCAGACCTGAGTGGGTCTTTTAACAGATATTGTCCTTTTCTCCCAGATAAGGGAAAGAAGATTTCCAAGCATCCTAAAGGCAAAATTAGCTCCTCAGGTCATGGCCTTCATTCTAAGGTGGGTGGGTGGGTGGAGTGGAATTTCCCCCTGAAGAAAGCCAACCATTTTTAAAGGGACAGTGTTTGTAGCAGCTGTAATGGGATCCATGCAGTTCACTTCCTACTTCTTAACACCCAAGAGTACATGCAGATATTACACTCAGATCGAGCTAACTATGGTTAGATCAATCTGAGTTCTGATCTGAACAGACATTTGGGGAGGTTAGATTGGGCAAAAATGGCAGGCCCTATCTAACTTACTTCACCTTCTCAGGTGAAGTAAGTTAGATCAGGAATGGGCTAGCCCAATCTAATGAATGCCTGTAGCTCTGGGACTGGGAAAGCCCAACCACTTGCCCAAACCCCAGAGCTGCACTCTTCCTATGCCCCCAACCTGACTGAGCTACTCTAGCACCCCCTCCCCTCCACCCTGAACAGATAACTCCCCTGTGGACCCCCACTTCCCTGCAGGCACACTATCCCACCCCACAATCCTGCCTGCCCTTTCCCCTACCCCAGCTTACTTAGACTGGGATCCCAGCATGGCTTCTGGTACCAGCAAAAGTGTGCATGCACCAGATCTGATCTATAGTCACATGGCAAAAAGTAAGCCATGTGATTGTAAATCAGGTATGGCAAACATCTGCACATACCCTGAATCAATCCCTTTTCCTTTGCTTTGAGATCATCACATTCAGTCTTAATGATGACTTAGCTCCCTTTCGCGGCTCTGGGAATGCTAGTAGACATGCCCTTCCTTAGAGGTTTCAAGGTAAGGTTTATAGCAACAGTGAAGCTGGAATCTGAAGTAGCACCAGACAGGCAGGAAACGGGGGTGTAGAAGGTGGGCATGAGCATGTTAGGGTATTTGTTTCAGGACCTCCTACTCTCCCCTGTTGCAGGACCTCCTACTCTCCCCTTTATAGAAAAAATAAAAAATAAATCGGCAGGATAGCACAGAAACCCTTCTAATTTCTTTAAAGAAGAAAAGAAAAGATTTCTTCAAGATCTTGGCATTTGAGTTATTTGAGATTAATGCATTGCATAGATTTTTAGAACCAAAAAGGTACTGTTAAGATTGCCTAGTCTGGCCTCTTGAGTGATACAACCTGTGGAATAACACTTTACTGAACTAGAGGATCTTTTTTATAAAAAGTTTTCATGATTGTTGATAATAAAGAATCTGCCACATACCTGGATAAGCTGTTCTTATCTCTGTCAAAAATATGCACAACTTTTTTATTTCACACACTTGAGTTCATAGTAATACTTTAACATTTAACAACATTTAATTCATCTACTGATACTAAATTAGTTTTTCAGTAAAAGGCAATCCAGTTAAATACATCCCCATATGAAATACATGCTTGTTTGGAATCATATTCCACATCTGCAACTAAAACAAAAAGTCTGTGGCCTGTTGCTTAAAGCAACATTGACTTAGCCTATCCATGTGCAAATGAATTTTTCACACACAAATCTGGAGCTAAGCCTGAGTTTACAACATTTTGATCTGAATACAAACTTCAAAATAGTACTGTGACCAGATCCAGGATTTTGAATAAAAAAACCTCTCTATGATACCTTCAGTCTGCCTGTATAAAAATATTGGAATTGTAGGACAATGTTGTTTGTAATGTTAAAATGTGCTTTTGAGAAGCTGGCTCTGTGGTCCTACATTTTAATTTGATTCAGCCAGAATGAAGACCAACGGAAGAAATTTAAGGTAAGAGCACTTACTACAGCGCTATCTAACTGGTGGCCTGCAGACTGCATGAGCTCTGTGACTAGTTAAAATGCAGCCCATGGCCTCCTGCAGTTGCTTTTCTCATTTCTGTGGAGGAGAAATTAAGGAGGGGGGCTATGAAATGTTGGTGCTACCTGGGGAATACGGGGAGCCATGCACTGCTTGGCAGGGAAGAATCCCAGAATGGGGAAGGGAGTTCACATAGCCACACTCAAGTTGGACAGCTCTGACCTTCTAAATTAGTCTCAAATATGTTTGGCCATTGGGATGAATTATAAGTGCAAACTATCTTACCGATTTCTAAGCTAGTAACAGGGTAGATTCAGTACAAAGAGTTCAAGTGCTATAACATGAGCAAGGACATCATTTTCAGAAGTAAATTACTGCATTTAGTTATACTACCTCCTTTGTCTCCTCAGAAAATGCTTGCAGAATATCAGTCTGCCTGGTGTAGTTTCCATTGGCGTCCTGTAGTCCCTGGAGGATGCGTTCTCGCAGAACCAGAACAGACACACGTAGCTGGTGCCAGAGTAGTTGCACTGTATGGATATCGACTATCACATTGACAGAGTAAGACAGAAGCTTCAGAGAAAACTCAGTCTCTAATAGAGCATGAATTTGTTCAACATGATCCGAGATATCTTCACATATATCCTGTAACAGAAGAAAAATATATCTTCAGCCACTGGCATAGCCTCATAAAGATCAGTGCTAGGCATATCATTTACTTATTAAATGCAGTATATATGATTTCAGACAGGGAGAATAATGTAATTAATGCATCCAGACTTCTCTATTTATTTTTATTTATGGCAATGCTACAACAACTGAACCAGCAGCTGTCTTGTTTGGCAGGAGTGTTCGCTGAGTACAGAGGCAACATGAAATAAGTGGAGATGGTACAAGATCATATGAATCAGAAATAGAAAAGCAGCATTGTAAATATGGCATCCTGAAATGCAGGGACAAGAATGCAAGTGATAAGAGTGTCCCAACAGATCTCTATCCTCAGTTATTTAAAATGTCAGTATATACACAATTTGATTTCTAATATGTCCAATAAAGTGCTTTGGAGAAAAGAGTAAGTAGAGGAAAGGTGTTGGGAGAAAGGGAGTGATTATATTTCGTGTTCGGAGGAGAAAGCAGAGGCTGGGTTATTCGGTGGGGGGGACACAATATTTTGATGGGGTAGTATCTTCCGAGAACAATAACTAGATTCTTCAGTAATCTAATCCCAAATCCTCAATAGAATATTATACTATATGCATAATGATTGTGATGGCAGTTACCTTAGAACAATAGTATAACTTAAAAGAATACTTAGACATATACCTGTTGTTGAACAAGCAAAGTATATTTTTAAAAAGTAGAACTATTATAACACATCTGAAAAAGTGTGATGTAGACAAGTAACCAAATGAGGATAAAATACTGAATAAATTATCTTTATTCAGTATTTTATCTAGAGAATTTTCTTGAAATCTCTGGTGCATATTTAAAAATAGCATATTCATATTTCTTAAATATATAAATAGTACCAATACAGTAAAATAAATAGTACCAATATAACAATCAGAAGAAAATCATAATTTTTAAAGCATCTCAGACTCTCACTTCATAAAACCAGTTGCCTTGAAACTCTATACTTATTTTGATTTCTAATTTTGGGAAATAGTAATATAATAATGCATTATTCAGCATAGCATAATGACATGTTATACCTTCTTTACCAGCTAAGCCTTGATTTCTTTAGGTACAGTTAAATTCATAACAGTGATAGGTAAATTGGTAAGTTTTTAGTGCAACTTTTTAGTAACTTTTATCATTCATAAATTACACTAGGTCTTCTTAAATTATATTAAAGAATTATCTTTAATAGTAATAGATAGTAGTAAGTGGGGAAGCGGTGATCTGGAGGAAACACAACTGGGGGATTCAAGAGGGAAGCAACAGGGGAAGCCTTCTCGTTCTTCCTGAGAAAGCAGGGCGATTGGCTAATTACTTCAGGTATCTGTACATGAATACAGTCTGGGAAACAAGCAGGAAGAATCGGAAGGCCCTGTATAGTCACAGAACTATGATGCAATTGGAATACCAGAGACCTGGTGGGAGCTTGCATGACTGGAGTACTGTCATGGGTGGGTATAAACTGTTCAGCAAGGACAGGCAGGGAAGAAGAGGAGGAGGAGGAGTTGTTCTTTATGTAAAAGAGCTGTATGATTGCTCAGAGATGCAGTTGGTAACTGAAGATAGGCCTGTTGAAAGTCTCTGGATTAGGGTCAGAGGGAAAGCAACAGTGGGTGTTTGCTGTAAATCACCAGACCAGGAGGCTAAGGTGGATGAGGTTTTCTTCAAACAACTAGCAGAAATTTCTTGAACACGGGCCTTGGTTCTCTTGGGAGACTTCAGTTATCCTGACATCTGCTGGGAGAGGAATACAGCAGTGCAGAGGTAATCCAGGAAGTTTTTGGACAGTGCTAGGGACAACTTCCTGGTACAACTGTTGGAGAGGCCGCTAAGGGCCATCTTCTTCTTGACCTGCTGCTCACAAACAGGAAAGAATTGGTGGGGAATGTAGAAGTGGATGGAGCAACTTGGGCAGCAGTGACCATGAGATGACTGAGTTGAGGATCCTGAGGAAAGGCAGGAAGGACAGCAGCAGAGTAAGGACCCTGGACTTCAGAAAAACACTTTGACTTGCTTAAGGCAGGATACCCTGGGAGGCCAGTCTGAGGCGGAAAGGAATCCAGGAGAGCTGCTTGTACTAGAAAGAAACCTTACTAAGAGTGCAGGAAAGAACCATCCCAATGAGCAGGAAGATTAGCAGAAGACAAGCTTGCCTTATCATGGAATTCTTTAATGAGCTAAAACACAAAAAAGAAGCTTACAAAAAGTAGAAACTTGGGCAAACTACTAGGAAGGAATATAAGAGTTTTGCTCAGGCATGCAGGGACGAAATCAGGAAGGCCAATGTGCAACTGGAGTTACAGCTAGCAAGTGATGTGAAGGATAACAAGAAGGGTTTCTAGTACATGGTATTTTCTTCCCCTAGAAATACTTGCCTGCCAGAATTAAGTCACCTGTCTGTTGTCCTTTGAATTTCTTGGATGCTACCTAGGAGGAGGTATTAGTAGGCATAGGCTGTTGGTAGCATGGCGGTCTTTCCTGCCCAAGTGCAGGGGGCTGGACCTGACGATCTATAAGGTCCCTTCCAGCCCCTAAAAAACTATGAAAGTATGTCAGTACCAAGACGAAGATCAAGGGGAGTGTGGGTCCCTTATTGAATGGGGGGAGGCAACCTAGTGACAGATGATGAGAAAAAGGCTGAAGTACTCAATGACTTTTTCTTTTCAGTAGGGGTGCACCGATAGAGACTTTGGGGACCGATAGCGATACTTAAAGAGGCATACTGGCCGATACCGATCCGATATCCAATACAGCTGCCTCCAGGTGGTAAGTCCAGTGTGGTGGAAGGCGAGGGATGGGATGGGGGCTGGGGGGAGACCAAAGACACCCATGGTGAGGGAGGGGGCAGGCGCTGCCTGGAGGGGCAGGGAGAGGGTGTGGGACAGAGCCATGGCTCATGGGGTGGGGGTGGCTCCCGTCACTGCTTGCATCCCAGGAGGGAGGAGGGAGGGAGTGTGTCTCCCGGCTCTGCACAGGGCGGGGTGGCAGCTGCAGGGTGGAACCAGAGCTGGCGCCGCGTGGGGCTTTTCTTGGCAGGGGCTCAGCTCAGAGCAGGCCCTGGCTGCGCTGGAAGAAGGCTGCAGCTCCACTCCCAGCCCTGCGCTGCCACCCGGCACAGCTGCAGCTTTTCCCGGCACTTGGGTGGAGGCAGCACGTTCAGCTGCAGCTGTGCCCTGTTGCGTGGGGCTGGGAGTGGAGCTGCAGTGAAATCTGGGGTGACTGCAGCCTCCTCCCAGCACCACCAGAGCCTGCTCTGAGCCCAGCCCCCCACTGAGAAGAGCTGCGCAGCTCCGGCTCCACCCCACAGCTGCAGCCCATCCTGCACCACACAGATCCAGAGCATGCGCCCCCCCCCCCTTCTGGGGTGCAAGCAGCAGCGTGAGCTGCCCCTATCCTGCAAGCCGTGGCTCCATCCTGCAGACCCCCTCCCCTCCCCCACCAGGCAGCGCCTGCCCCCTCCCTCACTGCGGGGGGGCATTAAGTCTTGTAAACCTACAAAAAACATTTTGTAGACTCTCTTACTGCATCTTATACCAGGATTATTTTGGTTAAGTTTTAGTTTAGGTTCAGCTAGGAATTAGCTTACACCAAACCTAAATGGTCTTTGTATGAGAGTACATACAAAGTTAGGTTGATCTAAATGGCTGGATGTGGAGGCATTCATAGGGCTTAAATCACCATAAAAATGGCATGCCTGATATAAAACTAGTTCACCTCACAGGTTAGGGGAGCAGACCAAATTAGGACACCAGTAGAGCCCCGAATTAGGATGTGGGCATGTGATGAATTAGGACTTTGTCTGACAACATGCAACATGGACAGTGTGATGAACACAGAAAGACCAATCAGCAACAGCCATGGATAGAGAGTCATTAGGAGTCATCAGGAGGGAAGGAGAATACAAAAGAAGGACTTTGGAGTAACAAAGTGGCCCTCCACCCAGGGCCTCCTTCTGAGGGTCCCCCAGGAGGAGTCCCCAAGGCCACCATGGACAGAGGGCACACCACCAGCTCATCTCATCCACCCTACTGGACTGGAGGGTGGGCCTCGGCATCCTGCCTCCAGGCTGCTGACACACTGATATCTAAGAGAGAGCCTTAGAGTGAAGCCTGCATCCTGGCCAGATGTTTCTTGACTCTGATGACAGCCCTAGAATTGGTAGATACATAGAATTGCTTCATTGTTTGTATTGTTTCTTTTCTGTTATCACTGTGTATCAATACATTTGCTCATTATCAAAAATGAAAAAGTTGTGGTCGGCCTGAGGGTGGGTCCCAGAACAAGGCATCCGCATCCTAAATCCAGAGCCAACGCCTCTCAGTATTCAGCCAATGTATGTCATTGAGTTCAAGGTGTCCAGAGAATCAGAGTTTTGTAGAACAAACATACATGCTCATGTGGATGCAGCCAGAGTGTTTTGCATAAACCAGTGGTTCTCATTATTTTTTGACTCTGGGATCCCTCAGACTCAACTAACTCTTCAGAAAATGCCAGCTCTTAGATCAGGTACAGACATTCATCACACTTTTACCAGTATAAGTGATTGGAAACCGGTCTATATCTGTAACAGAACAGAAGTTTGGCACATGTAGACTGGTTTAAAAATGGCAGAAACCAGTCTAAGATCCCCACCCCCCACACCAAAGGGTATATGTGTGTTCTGTTCTCTATCAATATAAACTATGCCACTTACACAAAACTGTAATTTAGATCAGTTCCACCTCAGGCTTTTTGACTGTCTGTACCTAGCCCTGGTGTTCACTTGGTTTTTTACTACAGAAGCTAATATAGCAATTTTTCTATTGCAAAGAAGTCAGAAAGACAACAGGTTAGAATGTTTTTAATACCATGGATTTCTGTTTTAAATCTTTTGGTTTACCCTGTGAAACATGTCTGCACACCCAAGAGTCCTTACATTGTGTGGCAACCTGCAACACCTTTGAAAGTGTCTCAAGAAACCCTGGCTG